ATTTATATACATTTATATGCTTAGCTTCACAATCATCTCAAAAGTCTGCTTTGGAAGCCATCACCAATTCAAATCAAAGGTCTATTTTGCACACTAGTTCAGATAAGGCATACCAAATTTGCTTTGGTTGGATTCTCAGCTCTTATGCATTATATGCCACCTGGTCTTCTTATCATATATAGTAATATGCACATTTCTCCTTCAGAAAGTTGCTTTCTGATTTTGAAAAGATTGATCAACACATTTTGTCTCCGTTTGTTAAATTAATCCTTGGGATAATAATTAGATTTTTTGACTTGGGAAAACACGAGTCCCTAAAAATTATAAAATATACGAAAATGGGGATTAGAGCGATAATAAATATTCATCCATTTAAATAATACAACGTGAGTTTGCGTTTGAAAATGAAGAAAAAAGGTATCACAAGTGGAATTTTCCACTTGAGCAACATGGGGGATAAGGGCATCTCAATTTGAATTGTGCTACTGTTGGTTGAACTGGCGTTGGGCATACAGGTCCCCATCACTCTCTTTCTCCGTTTTTTTTTTTGGTTTAATGATCAGGAGTGTGCAGATTAGTTTACGCACATCTTGATTAATCTTCTCTCTAATTTGATCAAAAAATAGATTATTCATGCCGAAACTAAAATATTCATGAAAAATAAATTTTTTATGATCTCGTCAGTCTCTCTCTTTTCTTGCTTATCAATAATAATGTATTGATACAAAAATTTGGAGTCACAATTCAGGAATCGAATTATAGAAGAAAGATTCCAATGGATGTCAGTTTAGGAACATTTGAAGCCAAGAATAATTTGCATAACATTCTCATATTTTTTTTCCCTTTGTTCTTATCGTATTTGGTGTACAAGATTTTTGCCTCGCCTCTAACGATAACGAGGTTAACAAGAAATAAATAGTAAATCATCTCACCTTTATATTTTAAAACGTGAATTCAATACTCAAAACCAAGGCACTCTACCTAGAAGGATTATGCAAAAACCTAGGTATGCTACCTAGAAGGATGAATATGCATCATCGCTTTAAATCAAACCTCTCGTTTGTTGTCTTTTAATAGACAATAAAATTATAATTGGGATTAACTTATCTCAACAAGAATCCCAATTCGAGAGATAGCAACATAGGTTAGAATGGAATGATGCCAATAGAATTCCTTGAGGAGACCCCTATTGGGCGTGGTATGATTCCAAAGAAAAGGATATGGACATTCCTCTCTCTCTCTCTCTCCCTCTCTCTCATGGAATATGCTTCTTATGGACAATGGACAACATGAATCTTATCCTTTTCAATAAAGTTCAAATGTGTATTACAATTGCTCTTATCCTTATTCTCGGATATCGACATCATTGTTATTTTGTTTTTCTAATTGGTCGTTGTCTTTAGCCTAGTCTTTCTTGGAGATGTCCATGCATCGAAGGAAGGAGCATTGGTACATGGGTTTGGGTTTATGTTTCACTGATCAACTATGTTTCACCATCCAAACTCTACTCACCTCTTTTCTTTTTCAATCTCCAACTATTTTTTCAATCCACTCAATTTCCAATAAGGGACATTTGAATTTTAAAATAAAAAATTTTCTTACTTATTTTGCCCTATTTTTTTTTTAATCGTATTATGTTGAATGTCGTCAAAAGAAAGCTTTGCAATGACATAAGAGACGATTTTGTTATACTATTTCAAAGGGTAGGTAGAAAAAAAAAGTCACTAAAAAGTATAATACGAATTCTAGTATAGATGAATTTCATCAAAAAAAAAAATGTCGAGTACGAAATTAGTGAACGATCTAAGTTGATACCTATTCAAAACTTTTTTTTCCATATCTTTATTTTAGCTTTTTATCACATATATTACTTTGTTGGATATATTTTTATTCATCAAGAATCTGAATCGATAAAATATATACAATTTACATTATCAACCTGTTTTTTACATTAAATTTAGCCCCTCAGAAAAAAATTTCCAACTCCGTCTTTGACCGTTATGGATACGTGAGAGTATCACTGCATGATAGTTTTCAGACGGAAACTTCGCGTGTTGGGTTGTCCTATTTTTTAAAACAAAATAATTGTAGGACAACATCAACTGATATCGAAGTTTGGGGGCTTTCAAAGACAACTTTAGATGCCACCGGACCACATAGCCTTTGTACCAGCAAAGGCCAGCCAGATGTTGCCGGACCACATACGGTTTGCTCCAGTAGAATACAAAGTTATACAGCTGTGGAAGAAGGTCTAGGACTCGGACTTTCAAGTCCAATGTTGAACTGACTGACACAACTTTAGCCACCAGTTTTTGTTTCCTTTCAGTCCCCACCATACCCACAGGCACACATTTTGTAAACTTCCAAATCTCTGGCTGACACACAATTATTGTATGGGTGAATTACAATTTACACCTTTAAAGTTTAAACATAATTTCTATTTGGTCTCTCAATTATCAATTGGCAATAATTATGTCCTAAATTCATCAATAATTATGACTTAAAAGTGTCGTCTGAGGATTATGCCTCAAACATATACATAATTTTGACCAAATAAACTTAAATATTAGTTAAATCTATCAAAAAAAAAAAGAGTCAATACATCCAATTAAAATATTTAAATTTATATCAAATGAGTTAACAAATATAATTTTTATACATAAACTCTAACTTTTGAGCTAACTTATTCAAAATTAATCTCATAATTGGGTCACGTCATTTAGAATTATTGACGAATTTGAACTGGGAAATTTAATTGAAACAGAAATTAAAGTTTGAGAACTTGATTGTTTTAATTGATAGTTTAGGGATCAATTAAAAATTAGGTATAAATTTTGAGGGTAAAAAATATAATTTGCATTCGTTTTATTTTGCCACTTCGTATGTTTTTGCAAGTGTGTTCACCTGCTGCGCAGATACACTAGGCTGAGGGGGCATATCTTCAATTTTTATTTTCATAAAGATTTACAATTAATCCTGTCGGATGAGTTTTTGTCATGTCTAATAGAGTAGCGTGTTAACATTATTTTAAAAAAAAAAAAAATTATATGTGAGCCATTTATATCCAAATTCGTATTATGTCATGTCAGAATTATACTGTATCTAAATTATATTTAATAAATTCGTGTTTTATTTAGTTAGATTTATATCAACTTATTTAATTGACAAGACGATCAACGTGTCTACCCATTTACCATTCCAATCGGTCAAGTTTAATATAGATATATTAATTTCATATCAATTTTATATCAAATTCGACGGTTCTATACAAAATTGTCGAGCCTATACGTGACTATAGTCCCGCCAATCCCCTCATCCTTTTACAAGATGTATATTATTTTTATAGAGAGAACAACGAGAAGAAAAATGAAAGAAATTTGTGAATTTAATTACATAAAGATATGATTAGAGAAGATTGAATTATGAGGTAGGATTGTTAAAGATAAGAGCATTTCACCTGATATTAAAAATTTTTAAAATAAAAAAATAGAAAATTAAATAATACAAGTGTTGAGACTAGTGGGATCCTCCTACACTTCTCTAGGATATAAGGAAATAAAAAAGACTTCCATGTTTCCAATGCCATCTATGTTTGTCAGAGCATTTAATTTATACACATTCTTCCAAGACTTTTCGTTAAATTGGGGCGAATTAAGAATATTTTAGCAATAAACTATCCCTTGTGTCAATCTAAGCAAATCCAAATTCAAAATCCCCTCCCCAATTTTATGGTTCAAACAGCTTTGTATGACTTTAAGAATTGCCACAAGAGGACACGTGATCTGGCAGTTGACGAAAACGCCGACTTATTTTACTCTTTATTTTTTGTTTTAAGATGTCTAGGCTTGCCTCCAACTTATCAATTGTCGCTGTGGCTTGACTGCAATGCGACGGCAACAAATAAAAAAATTTTGGTGGCTATTCTTCTCGTAAGTTAGATTATAATTAGTCATTAAATTTGTCAATAATTTTAAAATAGTCTTTATACTTTCAATTGTCTCAATTTAATTTATAAACTATCAATTTCGAGCGATAAAATTCTTCTGTCTATACCACTCGTTAAAACTATCAATTTCGAGCGATAAAATTCTTCTGTCTATACCACTCGTTAAAACTAGTGGACGCAACCCCATGTATTTGTTATAAGTCTATCCATGTCATTAGTATTAACAAGTAAAATATATAGAAGAATTTTAATTACATGAAATTAATAATTCAACAACTAAATTTAGACAATTTTTAAAGCGATAATTATAATATTTATCCTTTCTCTTAAATGTTTTGACGCGAATTAAACGTTATCTTTGTCTAGATAGAAAATTGAGTATGAGTTTTATATATATATATATATATTATAAGAACCATAGAAAAAATAATTCATATGTAACATTTTAATTTTTGGAATGAATATTAAGTACAATAGTAATGTCACATCCACATAAGATAATAATAATCCACCAACAAAACATCCTACACCATTAATATTATTTCTATTCAGATACCACCCAAAAAAAACACATAATGAGATTATGTGAAGTTAGGCTTGAGACATTATTGTCTTAATTAGTAGGCAGGTATTTGAGGAGTTGTTTATTTTTAAACACTAACCCACTCCTCCAACCACTCCTCTTCATAAAATTCTATTTCTCTTTAATTTTTCCCTTGTTCTTCTCATTTAACCTTTCATCTTCTCTCTCTACACTTACCCACTTATTAAATGAGTTGATTTTGAAACGGTCATAAGGAAGTTCATAAAGAATTTGATCGTAGATAGAGATTAAAATCTATGTGGAGTAAGAGTGGATGTAACCAAGTGAATGAAGCTAGTGGATTGTGAACTAATCACACGAGCGGGTTCAATCCCCGTTCATCTCATGCATCGCACGGACCGACCACTAGTAATTTATAGAATTGTCAAGTTAACAATGTTGTACATAACACTACTTAGTCATGTTTATACTGCAAGAAAAATCAAATGGGAGAGCATTCATAAGCCAATCACATAAAAATACTTTTATTGCATGAGTAACACAGCACACAATAGACCAATCAGGATATAACCAATAGTGTCTACCCACCATGGCTCCCTTAAAAACCACACACACACACACAAAAAAAAAAAAAAAAGGCAAACACTCCCTTAAAGTAAAACACGCAGCAAAGTAATAAAAGACGACAAAGCCAAACAAGACCGAAATAAGACCCAACCAGTCACAACCGTTGGATCTTACATCACCACAGACACTAAGGTACCACAGAACTTCAGCCCATATGCAATTACACGCTGCAACGGCTTGTACCTTTTATTCAAAGCCACTACAATCTTATAATACTTCCGGTTGCAGAGGATCAGAGCTTATATTGCCAGCACAAGACCCGGCATGGATTTACCGATCCGATTCGAGACACTGCTCTCCCAAACAGAGGGGCAATGGAGTGACGTAATCGACGAAAACTTCGACGAAGATGATTCGTCTGTGTTCCCGAGTCGGGTAACAGTAAGAGAAGTATTGAAATACTCTCTCACCTGGGTAATTATCCCATCCGTGACAGTCCAGGCGTGAACCCAATAGATTGAACGGTCGTAATCGTAGCCCTCGACGAGAACCGTTGATCCAAAGATGGCAACAGATTGAGGTACGAAATCGAATGAATCGTCGGGCGTTGCAGTGCCGGTGAGCAATCGCATCATAAACTGGTCGGACGGCGGGCCATGGAACCACCACTCCAAATCAGAAGCCAATAGCTTGTGGACGGTGTCTACGTCACGTGAGCTTAGCGCTTCATATAGGGCGAGCACCACCCTCTGGTTTTGGGTTTCTTCCAGAGTTTCCTGAGGGTTAGCCAGTTCAGAGAGAGAGAGAGAGAGAATGTATGAAGATTCCAGAGAGAGGAGTAGAGGGGGAGGTAGTGGATATGTGTGGGGGGGGTGAGGGGTCGGTTATATATAGGGAGAGAAAGGGGTATTGTTGGAATTTTGGTGGTTGTATTGTTATTTAGTCGTGGGCAGTTTCGGAGGCTGATTGTGCGTGTGTGTAAATGGAGGTGAGTTGTGCATGACGATGACGTGTCAGACGGTGGTTGGTTTGGTCATGCGTTTTGTCATTATCCCGGTTCACTGCTTGGACCCCACTGAAAAGAGCGTAAGTGGTCAAGCCAACTTTTTTGACCTCACCTTTTATGAACACAGCAATGAGGGACTAATTTTGTGATAGAGTGGTAATTTGGTAATTTTGAACACGAACATTTATAATAGTGTTTATAATTTTAATTTTTATTCATTTAAATTTATTTATTATATCAATAGTCACATCATTTAATTTTTAATTTTTAAATTTTTTTGTCAATATGGCATTACTTACTTTTTTTTTTTTTTTTGCTGGTTTTAAAAAAATGATAAAAGTAAATGAAAGTACTTAGAGATTACTCAAAAAACTTTTCATTGGTGGGATCATGAGAATCCTAATCACGTTCATTACTCTTTTCGAGAACGAATTTAATTAGATTAACATAATAGTCAACGACCAAATTCTAATATATTACTTATTTTGTCAAAAAACGCGTGTTGAGGTTAATAAACATGACGATTTAGAATTCGACCGTCCCGGACAATTAATTGAAATGGTCGAATACGAATTAAATAATGGTCCAAGCAAGAAGCAACATGACATGATCTAAACCCTAAACTTTCCTTTCATTTCAATCACTCATTCTTTAGGCATATTAACAAATCAGATTCAAATTGAATTTGAGTTTATTTGAATTTGAATTCGATTAAAAAATCTATTATCAATCCGATCTGTTTATCTAACGGATAGAAAAATATTAATTCATATCCTAATTTCTTATAATCGAACATTCAATTCGATTACTTGATCCAATTCATAATGATATTCCCTCAAAATTTTAACAAATAATCATTTTTTTTAAATCAAGCACGAATAATTAATATACATGTGTGTGTGTATATGTTTATATTCAATTTAAGATATCTAAATGAATTCAGATAAACGAATAAAAATATAAATTTATATTCGATTAGACAAATTCAAATTGAATTAGGACCAAAATTTTATTCATTGATAGGCCTATTTTCTTTCAACGCTAAGTCTAATGATGTGATTTTAAAGGACTAAAAGTCGTGAACATTAATTGCTTGGACTTTCATGTAGTGGCAAACCTATGAGACTCCCAAATGAAAGGTCACGTGGTGATCTCTCATGCCCCTCTTTCTTTCTTTTTTGGTAATGGATATGTTGATAGATCAATCTATGTATCCGTTATAGGACATTGTTTTTCAGTATCACAAAACTATCTACAAAGGATCTCATTAAACTTACGTCGGAGCTGTAACTAATGTCCCACAACATACTTTGGATTATGAAAAATATGTTTAGCTCCAACGAGCTGTTATAATTATAAAGACTTGAATTCAAGTATTTAACGAGAAAATTTGAATTCTTACCTATTGGGCTAATAGCTTGTTGGTCATGCCCCTATTTCAACACTATCGCTTCTCTTTCTCTCTACATATTCTTGTTTATGTTCTTTTTGAGTACTAAATCCATGTAATGTTTTTATTTTGATTGTAATCGATTATAATTCTAATCCATCTCTATCTGCAATGTTAAAATACATTATTTGAAAACATTGTACCCGAAAAACATTAAGAATAAATAAACTTTTCAAATTGCGAGGATTTGAATCCTTAATTTCAATAGGAATTAGAGGGAAGTTTTTGAGTTGGTGATAAGTAATGTTTACCTCCTGAAATAGCAATTTGAATTGATATTGCAACAGACTTATTATGCTTTCTAATGATTAAATAGGGTCTAAGTTCGTCTTGCGCCTTGTCGGTGCCTCTCTTTAGAGAATAAGGCTTAGATAGTTCACTTATTTTCTGTATCACTTTGGAAAACCGAAAAAAAAAAAAAAAATACCCCCTCTATTTCCCCTCTTTTTTCCCAATACATCACAACATACTACACATATACAATTCAAAGTTTAAGCCAAAAAAAGGTGTTTCTATTAGTGATTTTTTGGATACAACCGCTTATTTAAAGTTGGTCAGAATTATCTGACGAAATATTAGGTTACGGTATCTCAAAGGGACCAGTCAAATGAAAAGGCCTGAGGTAATATTTTTGGGTTTTGTCATTTATAACAAGTTTAAATCACCTTAAATTGAGCCTACGTCTCGATCTTCATTATTTTCTGTGTATAATTTCGATTTTTTCGTAATTTATTTTTCGATTTATTGTAATTTCAACAACCCTTATTTTTTATTGTGTTATGTGTTCCCAGTGGGAAGAGGATTACAAATGTAAACAAGAAAGAAGAAGAAAAAGCAGAGGATTACATATGTGATGAGATTTTTCTGAAATGCACCATGATGAAGACACGTGTCCTCGGTATTACCAAAACACTGTTGCTAAGATCGAGCACCATCGGCGCACAAAGGTCCTCGCCCCCGAGGTACTCGTCATATAAGATCATGCGTTCAGTATGTTTTACAACCGACACGTGGCCTCGGTCTGATATGGTACCTNCATCATATAGGATCATGCATTCAGTATGTTTTACAACCGACACGTGGCCTCGGTCTGATATGGTACCTCGGTCGGCATACCTTCCTCGGTTCCGAGATAAGTCTTTCCTCGGTGCCGAGAGGTACCCCGTCCTGGACGCTTCCTCTACTCCAGGATAAGCTATTGACGTACAGGTCATTAGCCTAGGCTAGTCTAGACTATTCATCATGACCTCGTCTTAAACAATTAGTGTCAGAACGTACTGGAAGGCAGGGGTCACAGCCAATAGAGGATGGACGTGTGGCGTATGATATCACATCGAAGACAGAGAAACCGCATGTCGTTGCTGACACGCGACTTGGGAAAGCAAACTATTAATTACATCATTCCCTTGATGAGACCGCATTCAATGCGGTAAGGCTCGGAAATGAAAGACAATAAATGCTCCTAATACAGAGCATTTATTGCATCCTCCCCGAGAGGAGTAAATTGTACCGTCGGCATCCCGCTGACACAACATTGATTGCTCGGGACTCCGAGCAGTTAAGAAGAGAAGACATCCCTCATCAGAATCAGTGCGCACACTGTCTGTACCTACTGATCACCTACTGACTACACTGACAGCAATCATGAGCTTTTGAGGTATAAATACTCCTTGTAAAAGGCAAGACGGGTATGCAACAAAAAACTCTTTACTACAATACACACTCAGTGTTTTCTCCTTCCTCTCTTTCTCAAAGACTGACTAGATTGTCGGAGGGGATACGTCGGAAAACACTCCGGCGCCGTTCTAACTTGTTCTTCTTTGTTCCAGGAACCTCTTTCAGCCTTACTGGATCGTTCTTCTACTCCCCTAGGGTCTCCCGTCGCCGTTTCAGGTTACCACCGGACCTCGCAGGCTGTTCCAAGCAGCGTGGTTGGTCACTCAACTGGCTCACTCGAGTTCACCAAGAGAGAGATCTGTTCTCGTTTTTATATTGTGCAGGATCTTGCACGCACAATATATAAGCAAGAAGAATGTGAAAATGAGTTCAAAAGCAACAGGAATGCTTAACTTTTAATACAAAAGTCTTGGGTTGTTGCCGACCGGACTGCTAAAATTTCTTTAACCTTTACTTAATACATAGGTATTGGGTTGTTGCCGGCCGGACTGCTAAAGGAATGTTGTGTGGTGGCAAATAATCCTGAGAACTTAACTCTCAAATAATCCTCAGAACTTAACTCTCTCTCTCTCTCTCTCTCTCACGCACACAGTGGATTTTCAATGAGAGATTTCCATCTTTTCATTAGGGTCGTTAATTGACACGAACCTGATTCGACACAAAATTTAAAATAACATGAATTATAAATGAGTCAAAATAAAATTAAATATAAATAATACGATTATCGGGTAATATAGGATGAAAAATAGGCATTTTATAATTTTTTTACATAATAATATATGAGATGTTGTAGAATTAAATAATTTTTTATTGACATAAATATTGATACAAACAAGATACGTACCAAAAATGTCATGACTAAAAGTGATACGACACGACACAACAAGACCTGATTGAAACTCCTATTTTTTGTTGAAAATAAAATATCCGTGTTTAGTAAAAAATGACGTCTTATAAGAATAAAATTCATACTAGTAAAAGCATACACCAAAAATAGAAATAAAACAAAAAAGGTAGTAAACATAATGTTTTAAACTCCAACTTCAACTGTGATCGAAGTTTGAATATTTTGTTGGACTCCATCAATGAAATGAAGGCGGAGTCGGACCGGAGTTAGAATTGATGTCAGATTTTTGGATAGTTGTGCGCCGTTAGAAATACTCCAAGAGCAAGGTTTTCCCTAATATGACTATGTGAAAAGGCAATAATTCATTATTGTTTTCAAACCGGAATGTCTTTTTCCTTGAGCTTGCATATAAATTCCTTACTTTCTGCCCAACGAAAACGACTGAAAGATAATAACTCCAAAACAGTGGTTGGAAGTTACCATTAATATGCTACACTCTTTTGAAGAAAAAAAATATTGGGTGGGACGGTAAATTCACGTTATTATTGTCATGTGATGTTATCATCCATTCAACTATGTTATTTAATAACTATCCAGGTGAAACTCACCTTATTCATTTGTAAGTTTATTGTTAGACGATGATATCACGTGTCAATGATGATATGGTGTTACTATTACATCCAATATATATTGGACTCCTTTTGAAGAGCAGAGAGTCGTATCCCATTTAAACTCCAAGAGATAGTCCAGTAAAAATAGAGATGAGCGGTAAACTAGATATTTTAATGTTAAAACTTGATAATTTTTTTGGTGTTAGGTTATGAGGGATTTATCCCTCATAACTTCTCTGGTCACGATATAGATAAGATAACTTGTCTTTGATCGGA